ATAAATAAAAACATTTATATTAACAAATTTAGAAACAATCAACATAATAAACGAAATAAACAATATAAAATTTTACACAATTATTTATCTACATAAAACTTTGCGTATAGCACATATACGCAAAGTATGTATGTAGGATGTTTCAGGTCAGATCAATGAAACTTCAGAGTCTTAAGCTAGCGCTAGACTATGCGCGTATTTGTGATTCGTTTATAATTCGTGAATAATGTAGATGGAAGATTCATCAAATTCGACCAATCAGATTTCTTTATATCGTTCACGAATCGCGAATTACGAATCACGAATTGCAAATACGCGCATAGTCTGGTGCTATCTTTATAGGAAATTGAATTTGAAACAAAAAAAGTTCCAATAAACATAGGTCCGGAAACGCTTCGTTAAAAAGTTATAGCTAATAAACTCTCTGTAAGTAATCACTTATGATCAAAATTTAATAAGAATATTTTTTTATGTTTGCATTTGTAATGTTTGCACTATGAATGTAATATTTACACAAAGACTATTGAAAGATGATTTTTTTTCAAGTTTTTACTTTTTTCGTTATTTTGAGCTATTTTCTTTTGAACGCCTTATCAGAATTAAATGAAATTGGTATAACTTAGTTTGTTATTTAATTACCAATCAGATTTATTTCATAATTTTTTTTTCAAATAAATGAAGGATTTTGAAGTTATTTTTAAAAATCATCAAAAAAATGTGATTTTTCAAAGTTTATTAGCTATAACTTTTTAACGAAACATTTCCGGACCTACGTTTATCAGAACTTTTTTGTTTCAAATTCAATAATTTCCTATATCCTGAAGTTTTATTGATCTGACCTGGAACACCCTGTATATATACAAGTGTTAAATTTCAAACGTAACAGGCTGAATATCTTGATAACTAAATGAAATATCGAGGTCCGGTTTTTTTTAGGTTATATTATTTCGAGGCGGACAAGTTTTGATAAAAAGAATTTGACTTTGGATCGACGCTATTGAGTTGAAACTTGCAGTGAACATCAAGTAGGAATGTGTGTCTCGATTAGTCGAAGGCGTGACTATAGTGTTGTCAGTTCCCAAGCCACGTGTACAGTCTTATTATTTTTTAGGCATATACGCAGAATATTAAATTAAATGGAAATATTCCGAATTATACATTAAACAATTAATTATTTATTAAACAATTTACGTATCACGGAGCCTTCCGCTATGTTTGTTTATCACTTGATATTGCGATTCGATTGTTTTATTGCGCGTTCTCAATCCAAATTGTATTTAAATCATTGAAAAGTTGCACGATAATGATTAAGGCAAATTATTTTCCGATACTTATCGCGATTGCATTTCAAATTTAATAATGTACGGAACATCTCGTGCTATTATATTCTCGCTCGAGTCGCCCTTGAATGACAAGATGTCTCGTGCGCATATTTTAACAATAATATGCTGAGAAAAATGATAACCAAACATCGAATAATAATTAATTTGTTACCGCTTACACACACACACACACACACACACACACACACACACACACACACACACACACACACACACACACACACACACACACACACACACACACACACACACACACACACACACACACACACACACACACACACACACACACACACACACACACACACACACACACACACACACACACACACACACACACACACACACACACACACACACACACACACACACACACACACACACACACACACACACACACACACACACACACACACACACACACACACACACACACACACACACACACACACACACACACACACACACACACACACACACACACACACACACACACACACACACACACACACACACACACACACACACACACACACACACACACACACACACACACACACACACACACACACACACACACACACACACACACACACACACACACACACACACACACACACGCGCATATTTATATGCTGAGAAAAATGATAACCAAACATCGAATAATAATTAATTTGTTACCGCTTACACACACACACACACACACACACACACACACACACACACACACACACACACACACACGCACGCACGCACGCACGCACGCACGCACGCACGCACGCACGCAAGCCCGTGGCGGATTTCGATACATCTCGCGTTGGGAATAATCTTGTGGCGTTTTGCGAATTGATACGTGAGAGACCGTATCTTGCGCCCAACTTTAGTTTTTTGTTTTATATTCTGTCTTCCGTCACGGCACGCTCGGAACTCTCAACACCCCGTTCCTACCCGGCACGTTATTCTTTTTCGAATCCTCTTTTTTTTTTGACAACAACGTTCCCGCATCCTCCACTCGGCGAACTAGCTCCTGTTTGTGGGCGCAACGTCCATCCGCGCGACGGAAAGATCGAAACGGCGAACGGGCTTATCATTCGGCCGCGAAAAAGGGAAAAGTCGTCGCAAAAATTTGGCGTCGCGCATATATACATAAATATTTATATACATAATATATTTTATCTTAATTTGATCAAGAAATTATTTGTATAAATTAATTTAATATTATTATTTTAGTCAAATTTTTAATTGTAGTTTATTAAATAATATATGACATATGAAAATAAATGGCATGTAAATTAAATTGATATGCTGTAAAATCTATCAGTATCACATTCGTGCTTGACGAATAAAATTACTTGCATAGTTATCGATTTCCATAATAGTAACTACTTACCATGAAGTAACACAAACATGCATTAGCACAAACTCGAATGTACCACGATTTTCTCTATTCCTCGAAGGCAAATCGATATCATATACTTTCTTTACATAAAACGAATAAAATTATTTGCTACTAGTAATACTTTTAACAATCAAACATACAAAATATGCGATGCAGTTGCTTACAATATATACAATACAGTGTACAATAAGAGAATCAATGAAAATCGCAAAAAAGACAATAATTTAAGTCTATTTTACTTCTTCTTTATGGATTATTATCACATCATTCCACTAATGGCAAGATTTTGATTTTTTATGGAGAACTGCGAAAAAACTATGGTCTTCTCATTTATCAGCTGCAAATGTAATTATAAATAACATAAATAACGAAAGAATTCGTTTTTTACTTGATCAAATAATCTCACTTTTTTTAACACTTTCAACGCTACTGTGAAGAAAAAGGAGAGAAAATTATAAAGCATTGCGAGAGAGAAAACAATAATTCAAAATAATGAAAAGAGGGTTGTCTCGAATTCCGTTCTGTATTTTATGTCACTTACATTAGCTAAAAAAGAGAGGAGTAAGTTTTCGATATTTTATTACTATTATCGCTATATTATACGAAAAAATAAGAAAATATAAAATGCATCTAGTACACAAAAATTATATAATTATATATTTAAGGCATATAAAATACGTCTCATCAATCGAAAAAATCAATATTTTACGTCGAAATAACTGAAATCGCTATTCAAATGATGTAATTTTTCTAATTTAATTTTGTTTCAATTCAGAGAAAATATCTATATCTCAACTATAAAGCTCGTTAAGTCTTCTTTATGTCGTTGCTCGTTTTGATTAATCTTAAGTCAGTTGCACACGAGCAAAAAATTGCATGTACATTGATTAATCTAATGCGCGTTTAAGAAGCGTCTAGCATCTATTGTAATGAAGTAATGTACATGTACGTGCAATTTTCGAACTCAGTGTTATTGCACTTCGTTATTATCTACATATTGCTTAACCACGCGGTAAATCAAACGTAGTATTTTTTCACATCGCTCGTATGCAGCCGGTCTTATAACCAATTAATTTTAATGACGATTTTATTAATTGAAAACCATGTACCTATTTTCCCCCAAGATTCGAAAGTCTCTATTGCGTTTATTTGGAAGCAAATTGAAAGGGAAATTATTATACATTTTAATGTCATCCATTGGAGGTATCCGCTTCAAAATATTTTGATACGGTTTTTCAATTTTTGCAATAAATTGTAAATCTAAAGAGAATCAGACTGTACAAAATATCAAAGCTTATTAGTTTTTAATTTTTGTAGTTATTATAATGTTTATCATACCCTTATAAGTAATAATGCATAAAAAGTATAATAAAATTTCCAAATATTGGCACCTTTCTTCATTGACAAAATATTATAAAATGGCATTGTCTCTCACGTAATACAGCGCAAGATAAGATTGAACGTAGTTATGCAGAAAGAAGCCAACTCCAAAAGTGATATTCTTGTAGCCAAGTTATAATAAAAGGAGACCAAAAATAAAATGTTACAATAGATCGAGAATTGAAAATAAAATATTTCCTCTCTACATGACATATAACAGTTTTCATTCTATTACATATAACATATGACATTCTACATCTATTCGGCGAAAATAAATCCAAAAATTATCGTTTGATTTTTTTCCATATAACTACGTTACAATCGTTTACAATTGTGGTTTAAGTATAAGTGCATACATCCTAAAATATAACAAAATATAAAATATACAGGGTGGTCCATTTTAAAAGAGCCAGTCAAATATCTCGAAAAATATGGAAGATAACCTTCGAACCAAACAACTTTGGTCTGAAACGTTTTTCCGTATCTTCCATATTTTTCGAGATATTTGACTGGCTCTTTTAAAATAGACCACCCTGTATATACAGAATCGTTTTATGACTTTTAAGTTTCACAGAAGCGTATAATGGACCTAAAATAAGAAAGATAGTTGATATAAATATAAGTTTTTGTTTCCGAGATACAGAGGACGTAAATTTATTCACGATTGTCACTATAGTAAAAATCAGAACTGTGTTTTAAATCAATAAAATTTTTTTTCGCATATAGTAAAATTTTTACTTTATTTTAGAAATCACTACAATCAAAAGTTGTGATTTGATTGCCTCTAGTGCTTGATCTGTCATTGTATTAATCATGTGAATAACAACAGTAGATAGTGGGCACTATGGGGCGTCAAAACAAACCCCCACCACATCAATAAAATTTTTTTTCGCATATAGTAAAATTTTTACTTTATTTTAGAAATCACTACAATCGTTTTTTTATTCTGATTTTCATATAGTACGCGTACAATTGTAACAACTACAGTTAGTCGACTTAAGTAAGTTTAATACTTTATATATTCAGTCATTCGTCTCGACTAGCGTCGCTATAATAGGCTTAGCGGAAATTATCCAGGTGTACATTATCCAAGAAACGAGAACTCCAAACGCTATTTTGAGCAAACAATCGGCAAAATATAGATACATAAAGATCCGTCTCGCACGCGGTAGCGTCGAAGGATCATCCTTTAAATAATATTGTCTCGTGCCTAATATATATGCCAACAAATATTCATTCCAAGAGATAAGTTTCGTATCCATGAAAAATGTTTCTCTGTCCGAGGGACACAATCGATGATGCAAATCGCGCAAATTGTCGTTTCTGTAATTAAGTTGAATGCAGAATGTAAAAAGTAAATCTTGACTGAATTTTAATAGATATAGCGAGCTTTTCTCACCGAAAAATCCATTGTTTCATGGTGTAATATTGAAGCAGTTCTAATCCAATGTTCACTCTACTTTGTATTCGTACCATGAAAGGCTTGTTCCCGGTAATAATAAGTAAGATATCTAATAGATATGCGGGTATAGTGTGCAACCATAAGACGGCAAACCAGTGTAGAATTTTCGAGGAAGTTAATCTCCCACCAGGATACCAGAGTGGTCCTGAAAGAAGAGTAACGTTATGTACATTAGATTCATCTTGCAAAATTCTTCCAGTATCATCGGATACTTGATTTAGTATTTCTTACGCGAGAACGGGTTTGCGAGGACGTGCTCTTTTCCTATTTCTAAAGCGTCACCCCAAGAAATTGGATTTTCCTGGTTAGCTGTGGCATTTAAGAATATCGGCTTAATAGACTTTTTCGTTCCGACTTGCCAAGCCGCGGCGATCACTGCGTTTACGGCCATATCGCAAGGTATTATATCGGTTAAATAATTCGCGTTGCAGAGCATCGATCGTATGACCCCTTTACCCGCGCCTATTATTAATCCGGTAGGACCGTTCATATTGTCCACCCAACCGGGCACCGGTTCCTTCCAAGATGCCACCACTGAAAAACAGGTATGTACAATTATCATTCATTGTTAGGACATCATAATCGTCAATATTAGTTATCGGTGACATACTGAAATGTGAACGATTTTCTATGAAAAAATATGTAAAAATATTTTTTGTATAAAGATTTATTATTTATTATTCCAAGAAAATTGAAATATGAAAATTAGAGTAGTAATATGTTTCCTCTCCGTTATAAACTTACATAATTTACAATAATATCAACTTTTATGTCGATAGATTCATTTCAACAGCAGTGATTATATAAGACGTGAAAATAAAAATATAAAAATACTCTAACAATTTTAAGAAATTAAGGCTCTCGAATGACAAATTCAAATAATCGAATATTTTTATCACAAATTTCAAATAATCGCGGGCTAGTAAGAGCCAGATGCGGATGGTAAAGCGGCAAGCGAAAGACTAGGGCTCAATTACCGATTCAGCGACTTCGCCTCGATATTTTTTTCGCCTTCGTCTCTCCAGGGGGTAAAGAGGGGTTATTATAAATCTCGAATTGTGATTAATTTAAAAATCTTGGTATAGGACCAAGTAAATTTCGTGCCTTGTGCACATAATCAGTTTCATAGAAAAATAAGTTTTCTATGAAACTGACGCATTACCATCCGCGTCTGTCTTTTACTAGCCCGCGATTATTTGAAATTTGTGATAAAAATATTCGATTATTTGAATTTGTCATTCGAGAGCCTTAATTTCTTAAAATTGTTAGAGTATTTTTATATTTTTATTTTCACGTCTTATATAATCACTGCTGTTGAAATGAATCTATCGACATAAAAGTTGATATTATTGTAAATTATGTAAGTTTATAACGGAGAGGAAATATATTACTACACTAATTTTCATATTTCAATTTTCTTGGAATAATAAATAATAAATCTTTATACAAAAAATATTTTTACATATTTTTTCATAAAAAATCGTTCACATTACAGTATGTCACCGATAACTAATATTGACGATTATGATGTCCTAACAATGAATGATAATTGTACATACCTGTTTTTCAGTGGTGGCATCTTGGAAGGAACCGGTGCCCGGTTGGGTGGACAATATGAACGGTCCTACCGGATTAATAATAGGCGCGGGTAAAGGGGTCATACGATCGATGCTCTGCAACGCGAATTATTTAACCGATATAATACCTTGCGATATGGCCGTAAACGCAGTGATCGCCGCGGCTTGGCAAGTCGGAACGAAAAAGTCTATTAAGCCGATATTCTTAAATGCCACAGCTAACCAGGAAAATCCAATTTCTTGGGGTGACGCTTTAGAAATAGGAAAAAAGCACGTCCTCGCAAACCCGTTCTCGCGTAAGAAATACTAAATCAAGTATCCGATGATACTGGAAGAATTTTGCAAGATGAATCTAATGTACATAACGTTACTCTTCTTTCAGGACCACTCTGGTATCCTGGTGGGAGATTAACTTCCTCGAAAATTCTACACTGGTTTGCCGTCTTATGGTTGCACACTATACCCGCATATCTATTAGATATCTTACTTATTATTACCGGGAACAAGCCTTTCATGGTACGAATACAAAGTAGAGTGAACATTGGATTAGAACTGCTTCAATATTACACCATGAAACAATGGATTTTTCGGTGAGAAAAGCTCGCTATATCTATTAAAATTCAGTCAAGATTTACTTTTTACATTCTGCATTCAACTTAATTACAGAAACGACAATTTGCGCGATTTGCATCATCGATTGTGTCCCTCGGACAGAGAAACATTTTTCATGGATACGAAACTTATCTCTTGGAATGAATATTTGTTGGCATATATATTAGGCACGAGACAATATTATTTAAAGGATGATCCTTCGACGCTACCGCGTGCGAGACGGATCTTTATGTATCTATATTTTGCCGATTGTTTGCTCAAAATAGCGTTTGGAGTTCTCGTTTCTTGGATAATGTACACCTGGATAATTTCCGCTAAGCCTATTATAGCGACGCTAGTCGAGACGAATGACTGAATATATAAAGTATTAAACTTACTTAAGTCGACTAACTGTAGTTGTTACAATTGTACGCGTACTATATGAAAATCAGAATAAAAAAACGATTGTAGTGATTTCTAAAATAAAGTAAAAATTTTACTATATGCGAAAAAAAATTTTATTGATTTAAAACACAGTTCTGATTTTTACTATAGTGACAATCGTGAATAATTTTACGTCCTCTGTATCTCGGAAACAAAAACTTATATTTATATAAACTATTTTTCTTATTTTAGGTCCAAGTAGATAGTGGGCACTATGGGGCGTCAAAACAAACCCCCACCACCGAGCCTTGGCCCCCTGCTGCGACAGTCTGGGTCCCTCCCCCCTAAAGGTGTCTGTGGAAAAAAAGAGTGGAGGGGACTCGTGGACGTCTACGAGACAATTTTTTTTTTAAATTTTTCCTTTTAAATTTTTTAAAAAATTTTTTCCTTTTAAATTTTTCTTTTAAAATTTTTTTATTTTTTCCGGTCGCGTGAACATGCTTGGGCTCGAACCTGGGTCCTCCACCTCTCCAAACAGGGTCCTAGTATGCTGGGCTAGCTGAAAACTTATTAGAATAGAAGTTAAACATAGTATTTGTGTGGAGAGTAGTCCACCGCTAAGATAGGGGTCCTGACGGTCCGATTGGTTCTCCCCATAGTGCCCAGTCCTCCGATTGGTTCCGTCGGTTCCGTCGATTTAAAGTGGGATGGAAAAACGTGCCAAAAAATAGTGCGTGGGAGAAAGCGGACAAGATGTCTGACGGAAAGCAAACGTGACGGCAACCGACAAAATGGCGACCGTCGAGACTGGAGATGTCTAGGCATAAGGCACCCAGCCTCACCTCCCCCTTACAGAAAACCGAAAGATATCGTGCGGTATACAACTTCGCCCCATCGCCCCCCTTACGACAACCGAGAAAATGGCGACCGTCGAGACTGGAGATGCGTCTAGGCATAAGGCACCCAGGCTCCCCTCCCTCTTACGGAAAACCGAAAGATATCGTGCGGTATACAACATCGTCCCATCGCCCCCCTTAGAGGGAAACCGGGAGATGTACGGTATATGTCGCCCATTCTCTTCCACTCTTCCTGTTGAAAAGAGAAAAATTGGATAAGGTACCGCTAGAATAAACTAGGTGCTATGAAGGGGTAACGAACACGTGCGTGCATGTACGGGTACGCTTGTCCGAGCGGGCGAGTCCCGCTGCACAGGTAGACATACGGTAACAGCATCGCTGGAGACGATAGAAAGGGTCTTGAAATATATACGGGTACCTGAGACTGCTTGACGCTAAGGCTTAGGATAGAGTCTATGACGTCACTGAGACGTCGGGAAGAAAGAAAGGGAAGTAAAATATTTTCACCTGGTTGCTTTAAAATAAACAACATCTTTATTTATATTACGCGGGAATATGGAACATTGTACAATGAAAAATTTACATATAATTTAATATTTATTTACAAGAAGATATAAGTATAATATTTAATGAAATTTTACTCTTAACGCGCGTGACGGAAAATACGCGGATTCTTTATTATACATCGATAAAAAGAAAAATCGAGAAAAATTAATCTTCATAGGAAGATTCGGCTTCCAGGCCTGGAGTTCATCCAAAAGTTGTGATTTGATTGCCTCTAGTGCTTGATCTGTCATCGTATTAATCATGTGAATAACAACTTCTGCTGATACGTTAGTTTGATAAGCATGTTCTTCCAATACTGACTCGCCACATTGACAAAAAGACGTCGAAATGTGTATGAACGATTCGAGTAGAGACATCTGAAAAATATAGGGGAAAGTAGGGTAAAACCGGGTACTGTTTTGGATTTGTCTTCCTACAAAAAATCTGAGAGTAAAAAAAATTTATATTACGCGGGAATATGGAACATTGTACAATGAAAAATTTACATATAATTTAATATTTATTTACAAGAAGATATAAGTATAATATTTAATGAAATTTTACTCTTAACGCGCGTGACGGAAAATACGCGGATTCTTTATTATACATCGATAAAAAGAAAAATCGAGAAAAATTAATCTTCATAGGAAGATTCGGCTTCCAGGCCTGGAGTTCATCGCAGAAATGCTGGTTAGCCTTCTCGAAATTATCGTCCTCGGAAGACTGTGGAGAAAGAGGAGGTGTATCGCCGAGAACGGTAGTAGATAATGAAGAACGGGGGAAAAACACGGTAGTTCGGGAGAAGGACACCCAGGAGAATATACAGGAGAGTAACTAGGCTTAAATGCGTTGCCTTCATCATCTGAGTCTATAAAGAAAAAATAAAATTATATATATATATATATAATGTTTTCAATCTGCAATGCTTAATAGACGGACATCCCCGCCAAAATGTCCTAAGCAAAATAATATTCCTAATGCGTTGCTCGTACACATGTTGACAGTCTTTCTGAAGAAACGGTAGTTATTTTCATTGTTTTCCTCCTCCGATATTTGCTCGAGATATTTTTTAGCCTCAAATTGAGGTATCGCGACACTACGCAATATCGTAATTTTTCTTAGAATATCAGCGACACACATTTTCGCACACTCGGACTTCACTTAACTTAGTACACAAAAAATTTCAAGAGGTGGAAAACGTGTTGGATTTTTCATGGGAAATCAGAATTTATACATAATCCCCCCACTATTTTACAAAAGGACAATAAAGTGGGGAAAAAGTTTCCTTATTCTAGCACTGCCTATTTTTAGTTATTCTCATTTTATGGCTGACTAATTTCCTTAGTTTCTATAAGGTTTTGCATTTGCCGCGCCGAAAGAAATTACGTTACCTCAACCAATGAAAGGATAATAAAAAAAGAAATCGCCCGGCGTACGCGAAGACTTAACATGGTGTGCGTGAGATCTAAATAATCTTCTCCGTGACCCGGAATGACGAATTCTATCGGGGAATCGTCCGAGAGCGAAGTCACGGGTTTATAATGAATCCATTGCGAACTCTTGATACTAGTTTGTGTGGGCAGTAAAGAAAAGAGATCGAGTTCGCTCTTTAAATACTCGCTCGAATGCGTGTGAAGAAAGGACATGCTTATTTACCGCAAATTTTTTTGTCGTCGCTGTAATTCTCACTGTTAGATGTGTTTAGAATATATGCCGTTTAAGAAAATATGTCGGATACGGTGCGCTTTCTAGCAGTTTTACGCCTTTTCGCGGATGTCTTAAGTCTTTTCACCGTTGTGCGCTTTTTTCTTTTCTTATTTTTCGATATTTTTGTATTTGCTCTTTTTTTCCCTCGCGTCTGGCGCTTTGACGAACTTTTCTTACGCGCCTGGCGTCGTCTACGTAATGTCGCGGATTTAGCGATGCGCGTGTTGAGCCCGCCGAAAGGAAACTGAGCTACATGCATTTTTGCATCCGACTTATAACCCGAACCCTTCATCAGACTACTTATTTTTTCTTTAGCTTTTCTCTTAAGATTGTCGCGCGATTCTTCAAATCGGTGTGTGGCCGCTACCTTAAACGGCATATTGTTTTCAACATCTTCGATTATATTAGCACCGGCACGTAAAGCTTCTTTCTCCACAGACCGTACGCCTCTGGTTAAATAAGGTAGTACTCGTCTGAACAATCCTCCGAGAAAACTACCAATACTGTGACCTCTTTGATAGAGCGATCCGACGAAAACTCGCGGAATTCCACCGCCGCGACTGCCGCCGTTTTGTAACTCGTCGTAATACGTCGAATAATAATCCATTAACCTAATTTAATAATAGGGCAATAGAGCCAAGCGCGGTAAATAGTGCGCAACAATGCTTTATTTAAGTATACTCTGTCCTGGTTGATCTCTTATATCTATCTCGATTGTGCGAAAAGACGTTTGACGCAGGGCAATGTATTGAGTGTGCGAGAAATGCTTTATTTGAGTAGACGCGAACGCGTAATCATTTCCAACATCGAGCGCGACTATTCGCAAAAGAGGAGATTGTACATCACCAGTAATATAGGGTTCGCAAATATCGCAATAGACAAAGAGCTTGTCGGGGATACCGCGCAACAAACTAGCTGGTTCGGCGGCTATTATTACGCGTTCGCGCGGAAATACGTAAAATGGCGATGTATAAATTTCAACATCGTCATAAATCCAGGAAGGTAAAACGCCTGGTGTACCGGTATTATTTTCAATTTTACCATGCTTCTCGTCGTCATTCTGTATATTGAAGTCGGTTTCATTTAAGAGCCATAACGGTAAATGATCCACTACGCTAGCATTGAGCTTATTGCGCGTATCGAAGCCGAGTATTCGGCAAAGTTTTTCGGAAAAATTTACATAATGAACCATATCACATTTCATAATGTCGCAGGAAAGTTTCATAGTAATTTTGCGTCCGATAATAGCTCCAAATATCCAATGGATATGCAAACCCACGGATTTTGCAGAGTAATTCACAGCTTCTATAATATCTGTACATCACCAGTAATATAGGGTTCGCAAATATCGCAATAGACAAAGAGCTTGTCGGGGATATCGCGCAACAAACTAGCTGGTTCGGCGGCTATTATTACGCGTTCGCGCGGAAATACGTAAAATGGTGATGTATAAATTTCAACATCATAAATCCAGGAAGGTAAAACGCCTGGTGTACCGGTATTATTTTCAATTTTACCATGTTTCTCATCGGTATTTTGTATATTGAAGTCTGTTTCACTAAAGAGCCATAACGGTAAATGTTCCTCAACACTAGCATTGAGCTTATTGTGCGTATCGAAGCCGAGTATTCGGCAAAGTTTTTCGGAAAATTTTACATAATGAATCATATCACATTTCATAATGTCGCAGGAAAGTTTTATAGTAATTCTGCGTCCGATAATAGCTCCAAATTGCCAATGGATATGCGAACCCACGGATTTTGCAGAGTAATTCACGGCTTCTATAATATCGTGCAAACTTGAGTAAATACCCGATGGTATTTCAGATTTCCTAGCCTTGATTTTCTTTTTTTGGGAATCTATCGTGAAGTCTTGAATATTGATAAATTTTATGATTCCTTCTCCAGGACGTATATGAAGAAAGCTAGTCGGAAATTGAATCTCTGTGAACGCTACTTCCCAACGTCCCTGCAAGTCTATACGTTAAGGTAATTCAGTGGTGAAACACGTGGTTTTATTCTCCGGAAAAAAAACGCATGCTGCTATTACTCGGGAGAATTATATAAAATTCTTCCTCCCTTATTTTTGATACAAAGATTTTAAACTCGAAGCGGGTATCCAAGAATCGAATTTTGAAGGATATCCTTGCCAACTAACTAATAATTGTTTATTGTTACCACGTCCGTTGCCTTTCTCAAAGGCTACTTTTGCTCTACTGACACGCACGAAATCGCCCACGTTATATTTAGCCTTTTATCCGCGATTCTTTCTCTTCGCCCCATCGCCGTTGTCGTTCCAGCGACGATTCATATTTTCACACGCGCTTCGCGCATTTTTCCTCGTAACGATTGCAGATTGCATTTTGATGGTGGAATGTCGAGTATGATTGTAAGCGCGAAATATCCTGCAAAACATCGATGTAGCGTCGCGTATTTTTGTGCGTAAAATAACGCCACATTCATTCTTTAAGCGCTCTATTAAAACGTTCCACAATAGCTGCTTTAATATCGGGATTACGAGCTACGCGAAAATGAATATCTTTTTCTTTTAAGAAATTTTGTACATGCCGAGCAATAAATTCTTTACTCTTGTCGGTCTGCAGGTATACGGGTAGTCGTTCTTTGTTTCTCGAGAATATGCGTTAAAGGCTTTTACCACGCAGGCACCTGTTTTGTCGCGTAAAGGTTTTACCCAAACGAATTTACTAAGTACGTCAAAAACCGTTAATAGATATGAATAACCGTCATTATAGCTTTTGAGATTACGAATATCGATCAAATCAGCCTTCCATAAATCATCGATATTTGTCACGTTATAATATAAGCGTGGAAATTTTCGTCGCACCGGATGATGTAACGTGTATGTGTCTTGCGATTAAAGCCAGTCGATGACCTCATTACGTGAGAAATTCGGTTTAGCGGCACGCGATAAATTATCCGTCGCCGAATAGCCTGCATAGTGCGAGAGATTGTAATACAATTTTTCGAGTTCCATCATTCGAGTTTGCTCCAGTCGATCAATCCTTTTCTTTTCTTTGTCGGAGAATCTGCGTAGTTCGTTAATGTTTTGTCGCCGTCGTCCTCGTCGGCGGATACAAATAGCGTATCTCCTTCGGTTTCACTCGTTTCGTCTACCTTACGTCTGTACGACTTTGAACGCTCGGTCGAAGTTTTCGGAGTGGAACTTCCGCGCGGAACCACGATTTTAATACGATGAGATCGGGCGAACGTATGTAATAAATCATGATTTCCTATGAGATTGGAAGGAGTGCCTATGTCGTGCAGTAATCGGGGTGATTACGATAACTGTGGCCCCCTATTTGAAAGGTCGTTTCTGCAGACATTTTTGACGAGGAACACGGGAAAAATAGTAAAAAAAATTTCCGACCAATAGTTTTCGAGATATATCACTTTAAAGTATTGGACTTGATAATAAAACTTTATAAAAACGGACCCAATGATGTTGACCTCGATATATGTTGTCAAGATCATGATCCTGGGTAACTTTTCCTTATAACCAACAAGTGAGTGGTGTTGATGTTGATGATGGAATTACTTTTATCTCTTCGAGAAAAACTTGCGCGACTTCATTCACAGAAATGATGTCGTGAAACGAAGTAAAAATAGAAAAATTTGCCAATTTCGGGTGAAGACGAGGATGAATGTCGTTG